TATGGCTTGTGCACCAGCCCTGCACCACCACCCTGCATGGTCAAAAGAAGATCCTGCTCTGGAGGGTCTTCCTCTAAGCCGTGTCTAAATCTGCAGAGTTTTTTTGTATGTTATCTCAAAGGTGTGGCCTTCCTACCTGTGCAGGCAGCTAAATCTTTCATTCAGGCTCCCATATCTTCATTACTGCAATATCCATATCTCTGGCCTTGAAGAATGCCATCTTGCCCTGCTCATGTCCAGCCTGCATGCTCAGAGGTCATATTCCTAGCCTGTCTCTTTGGCCTTACAAGCCCTCTGTATACATCCCCCACTGGCCACCTCATCTGTCACATCAAACATAAACTACTCGTCTTCCCTTCTAAGGCCCTTTGTGGCATGTTCTACCCATAATGTTTCATTAACTACTGAGATTTGAACTTTGCCTCTAATTGTTACATTTTCAAACAAGCACTTTCATGCTTTTTAAGCTGTCACTTCTCATTTCTGGAGGAACTCTTCATAAACGCCCACGCAGTTTATCAGCCTGCTTCAAAAAAACCTTATTTTTCCCAATTCCTTTCAAAGGTTAAGCTGTTGGAATGATGAGACCACTGGCTATTATGCTGGCCTATGCTGTCTCATTGACTTCTTCTCTGACCGCCTGCACTCATCTCTTTATTTTTGTTTTATGAGTTGGGCAGAAACTGCCATCTTGTTATGTTTGTAGCACCCCTATAGCACCGAGCCTAGTGGGCTCTAGCTGCTATATAAGTATCATTTTCTCCCATTAAGAGGATCTAAAAGTTATCTGTTCTTTTAGTCTTCCAGTGCTGTCATATTAGGGGCAAGATTAGGATAAGTAATTGAGTGAGGATAGCTTTCCAAAGGGCATAGCTCTTCAAAAAGAGGTTTCTACTTGGAAGTCAGAGGGAGTGCCTTGTGCAGAAAAGGAGTAATTTTACACAATTAAATTTTGAAAGGTTTACGTTGCACTGAGCTGCAGGATGACTGTTGATGAAGAACTTACATCCACTCCTACAAACATAAAACCTAAGCCAGGCATCTGAATACCAGCTTTCAAAATCCTCCCTGGGGTGTCATTAAAGATTTCACTGTCATTTTTGAGGGGGCTGTTAAGATATTTCTGTGTTGCAATAAATGCCTGAAATTCTTTTCATATTATTAAAATAAAGTGCCAACCTACCAGATACCAGCACCTCTGCTTTTCTTGATGTATGACTACGGAAGAACACTAAAAGAACATAAAAAGGAGACTAGGGAGTGATCTGATAAGATTGAAAGCTAAACTGTATTCATAGTTCTCTGGGGAATGTAAAGAGGGGGCATTTAACAGTAATTGTCTATTGCTGATGCACCGTAGCAACTTAATCCTGAGCAAACTCATTCATAATTAACAACATGCGTGTGCCCTCTGGTGGCTGTTGTGAGTTCTGGAGAAAATGGTGTGGAGAAGGTCTCAGTGCTCTTGAATTGGTATTGTGCGCGCTTCCTAGGGATAACCATCTAGGTAACTTCAGTTGAATGCACTGCCTGGGATTAAAATTTTATGCTAATGACCAACTTCTATTTTAACTTTATAGTTCTTTGTGCAGTGTTCACATTTGAATTACTTTCATATGACTTGGGAATCAATTGAGCTAAATACCTTAAGAGTAATATTCCATACCTGCATCCAGCTGAATACTCTTACTGCATGATTTTGCAAAACATGATCTATAATTGGATGTACAATTGATACCATGAGGAGTCAGCTTTAACTAAATGAATTTCAAATGTTATTAGATTTATATGAGGATATTGTTGAGGATGAATATAGTTCATATCCGATGTGTCCTTTAGAGTTTAGTTTGTCTGATGTGGCTCATGGCTGCCTGCACACTATAGAGCTACTAATGTTAGCACTGCTGCATTATAGATGTTAGGGATAAAATGTGATGCTGTTTTCTTATAGAAGTAACCTAGGTTGAGGCAGTTAATAGACCTGGCTATTTGGTATCAAATTGTAATCGCATACAGTGTGACAAGTGCTATAAAATACTTATTAGCACAGTTAATGAACTCTATCCATGACAAAAAGGATGAGACAGAAAGTACCTGGAAATAGTTTACTAAAGTATGGTTTGTTACAGGAAATAATGCTAAGTCCATCCTTTGTTAACGTAGTATTTTATATCAACTTGACATTTTAAGGCTTTCATTTAAGACTCTTGGTCCGCCTTATCAGTTACTTGCGTGCATCACTAGGGCATTGGATTGGTGATTAGTTATACCCAGTGTGTATTTGGGGAAACTGAGGCCCAGAGGTGTATGACTTTCAGAGAAGTTAAAAAGATCCAGGAAAATATCCCAAAGGACTCGCAAGCCAGACTCCATGTACAGATTTTTCACCATATTGCCCTGGGAGTAGATGAGAGCTATGTAAAATAAGCTGCATCAAAACCCAGGGGCCTCACCACAACCTGTTTCCTTGCCACTTCCTCTGACAATTGGCAAGACTGCCATAGCAGTGCGCTGTCGGCTGTCTTCAAAATACCCACTACAGGCAAGGGAGCAGCAAAGCTTGGAAGGAGGGGCTGGTGAAGTTAATGAAGGCTCAAACCATGCTTGCTTTGCTGCAAGAACGAGGTAAGTCAAGATGACACAGCGCTGTATGGAAGAGGTGCCCTTCTCTGGGTAGAGGTACCCTGGCTGTGGTTAAATAAAAAACGAAAGATGGTTACAATTCATGGAAAGCTTCCATATAGGTAGTGAATGGTGGAAGCACACTGCCAAGGAGAGAAACCTGAGCTAGCTCTGCGTGGGTACTGGAAGCAGAAGAGTGATGTCCATACAACAGTGGCTATTGGCTTCTGGTACCCAAGCTAGCTTTATGGCATGGGAACATGCCCCAAATTTGGGAACAGAGGGCCAGACCCACAGGTGGTATAAACTTTAATTTTTTACACCAGCTGAGGATCCTGGGCCATTAATCCCTTTCACAAATCTCCCTGCCGTGTTGCAAGTACACCGTCCACAGGAACTCATTGAATTCGATGCCAGCCACAAATGGAGAGTGAAGAGGCATTTCTGAAACTACCACATGCTGGGGGCAGTATTCCAGAACACAAGGATCTGAAATGCTTAAACTCCTGCTGTTTCATTTCCTTTTCTTTTTTAAATACATTGTTTGTCTCTAGTATAACAGAACCATTTTATGATGTCTGTTACAAGGAAACCATTCTTCAAAGTACAGGAAAGAAATTGCTAGCTGGAAATTAATATTTAGCAGATTTATACCCAGGATGACCTTGCATTGTAGGTTTCCAAGAAGTATTTTATTATTATATGTAGTCTGTGGTTTGTGTATAAGATGTATCATTTGCATATAGCAAGATAAACAGGATACATTTCCATCCTGTCCCTAACAGGACAAAATTCCTTTTCTTCTCAGGTGTTAGTTTTGTAAGAATTGTTCTGGTTTTCATTTACCAACCTCTCTGAAATTTAGGTGTTTTAACTCTCAAACTGTATAACGTTTCTGTTAACCATCTTTACAACTGAACTAGTATAATGTCCTTGAATGACTTCTCTACGCTCCTGCCCTCCTCTCTTGAAAAAATATGGATATTCTCAAGCAGAAATGAGCTACTTGGATGGCAATTTTATCATAAGAAGACTTTGCCCACAGTTAGATTTTTATATCTAGTGAAAAACTTTCTTTGTTCACATTAAAGGAAAATGTAGTTTTACTTTTTCTCTACTTAAAGCAAAGTACAAGAAAGAATTTCCTTTGAAATTCTTTGCACTTCGGAATTACTAAAGGAAAAGATGCACAATATGGTACTTAATATCTGTTTTAGGTATTTTATAGGTGCTTGTTACCTTGTTCTTTAGTATAATTTATTTTAAACATAATTGGCAGGTGCTTAGGTTTTATCAGAGGTATATTTTGGCACTGAAAGGGAAGTGTTCTTTTGTATATTATCTACACCAGCACTCATATTTGGGAATCAAATCACACAGGTAAGGGCTATAAATATTAAATGTACAGTTGCTCTATAGAACACAATAATGCTGGCAGCACTGGATTTTTGATATTTTAAAGATCAGGTTCTGTTTCCGCCCAGATAAGCAAGAGGCGTGAACTCATACAACCCTGCACACAGGATTTCAGAAACTTAACTTAAAAAGTATAATTCTCTTCAGCTAGTTGTCTTGAAGTACTAGTCCTCTGCATGGTGTGTGTTGGCCTTTGAAATGCATTTGGTTGTCTCAAGTCCAGTTCCTGCAAGACATGTCTACATCACAAGAACAGCACTATCTACCACCCTTATTGGTAGCTTCAAGCTCTGAAAAGTTAGGAAACTGAGTTAGTTTCTTATCTACGTGGGGATGTCTGCAATTCACCACTGAGGCAAGCAGTACTATTTCTGTCTCATCTGCACCTCTTGAAGGAATAAAAAGAGGACTTTACTGTCCCGGGCTCTTCCTCTAGCACAGTGATTCTCAATTGGGGTGTCATGAGATCTTTTTAAGGCTGCCCTGGGGACGCAGTATTAACACTGTGAGGTGTGCAGACACCTACATATGATTCACAAAATTAAACCCAGAGATTTCAAATAGGAATCCATAGTGTCAAAATCATTTCTCACTACTTGCAGGCTTTTTTATTTATTTGCAACAAAGGAATTGCTCTGTTAGTTTTTTGTAGTCAAGAAACAAGTAAAAGCTAAGGGCTGGTATTTTCCAAGGGGTACCTTGAGTCTAAAAAAGATTGAGAACCACTGCTTTAGCACCTTTTGCCAGCACTAAATTTATTTCATTGTACATAAATGAGAACATGAAACTCCAAGCACTTTGGGCAGCCTGAGGTCTGATGAATGTTTTAATTTATCTAAGAGGCAAGGATTTTTTGAGTGGTATTTCTTACTAGAGCAACTAGAGCATGGCTGGGATAAAGTTAGACCAACTTTATTAATAAATACATTTATTTATTTATTCACTTTTAAATTACATTGCAGGTTGGTCCACTCAGGCCCAGGGAAAGGATCTCCACAGTCAGGGGTGGATTTATCCTTTGCAACCCGCACTGGAACAAGGCAAGGGATTGAAACTCATCTCTTCAGAACAGAGACTAGCAGAGACCTCTCCCTGTGGACAAGGAACATAGTGCAGGGCTGTCACAACTCAGCTGAGCTCATCACAGAAATCACAACCTGTGAGTAACACTTGGAAGCTGCTCTTCTTTACACTGACTCCCTTCAGCTTTTTGTCCTTAAGCCTATTTCATTATACACAGATCAAAATGTTGGCTCTCTGGTGATTTGTCTGGGATCAATGGTTAGAATCAGAAAGTAAAACTGGAAGGAACCTCAGGAGGTCATCTGGTCCAACCCCCTCCTAAAAGCAGGATTATTCCTGCCTAATCCCTCCCAGACAAATACTTGTTTTAACCTGCACTTAGAACCTTCCTGTGGCAGCAATCCCATGTCCTTTCTAGGTAAAGCAGGACACAGCCGGTATTCTCCAAGGCCATTATTAATAGAACTCATTGAATTTTCAACACAAGCATGAACTGTTTTTGTGAAAAGTTTGTTTCTTGCTCCTCCAGCCAGTTCCAAACTCGGGGGTACCTCTGGTGAGGTACGTGGTATCAGGTCCCACTATTCCATTGTTGTGATTTTCATCCACTGATTTCCATATTTTGCTTAATAGATTAATAGCCAAGAGTGCTTGAAGTGTTAGAGGTGGTGACTGTGCTATAACCCCTATGGGTAGTGGATAAGAGAGGCCTATTTCTTTCATAAACGCATAGAAGGAACTTCCTATTACGATATGAGATGTCACTATGGGAGGGAGTAAGGGGTAATAGCAAGGGCTTCCACCAGCACAGATGAAGAAAAACAGGCAGGGGTCATATATAGACTCTCTGAGAGAGAGAGATGTATAGATATATAGAGATACATCTCCAAAATTCATAAACATGTATTGGCCACATTCCTACCATGACCTGTGTTGGTTTTTTTTTAAATCAACAGCCTAGAAATAAAAAGTTGCAACCAGCTCCTTTAAGACAACTTCTTCCCTTCCAGGGTGCAGCCAAGATTGAGTTATTGAAACCAGCAATAGGTTCACTAGCTTCTTAGGCTTTGTCCCACAACATCATCTTGTACTCAAGAAGGAGGTTTGTTTTAAGGGATTTCCTCAAGCAGCAGCCGAAGGCCCCTTCTTTCTCATCATGAATGGGGCAGGTCTTCCAGAGACATTCCTCATTAGGACCCATTTATTCAGAGAAAAGTGTTTTATGTTTGCACCTTATGCTTCTGTGGAATAAATTCCTGGCATAGACATGCCCTGACCTTGGCCTGCTGATCTTAAGTGCCTGGCTAAGCTCTCCTCCATACGCCTTTGTCAGCTGATTCTTCGGTTTTCCAGGCTCCGTAACCCAGAGCAGTAAAACCCCTCTTCCGTGAGTTCTTCCCCATTTCACTGCCCTATGAACACTGCTAAACCAGGGAACTGCATCAGTTTTACCTGAAGATCTGAGTTTAATGTGGCACTTGGGACTGGCTCCAAAACAGAACTGCTGCATGCCTGGTCCCCACTGGTGTCCAGACCCCCACGTTAGGCACACTGAGGGGTGTCTTAAACTCTGCCCTCTCCAGGATGTGAGTGGCTTAGAGCTGCAGGGAAACACCAATGTCCATAACCTGCAACCCTCCTCTGAAGATGGATGCCTAAGCCCCTTCTTGCAGAAAGGGTTGCAAGGGTCACTTTTCTTATACAACATAGCAGACAGAGGTGGTGTCCACAGCTCCCAGTCAGTTGCCCAGCGGTCAGAGCCCGCATCCAGGATGTGATAGGCCTGGGTTTAATTTGCTTCTCTGCCTGAGAGGATTCAAATCTTGGTCTGCTGTCTTCTGGAGAGTGCCCTACATGGTGAAGGGGGCACACTGGAGAAAAAAAAGTCAAGGCTCATTAGGCTGAAGAAAGAACAGAAGGAAACATGATTAACCTTATGGTTGTGACACTCCTGGGGCAGGGGGAAGCAGTCCTGCGTTCTAGCTTACTTCAATGACTGTTTCATATCGAATACATTCAAATAGTCCTTTGTATCACACCCCCCTGCTCCCTGCAGACGAGGAGATCAAAATGGGTTTCCATACACTGACTGGATGGTCTAACTGCAACCACCACCACCTGCTCCAGCCACACTGTGAAATAATATGGACATTGCTACTGTAGAGCCTTGTAGGTGCATGTTTGACATGGTCTGAGAACCCAGACTGCGCCATGCCTGTTGGGGAGACAGGCAGGGATGCCTCATTTCTGGATCCCAAGAGCATCCTGTCAGTCCTGGCAGGACCCAGATACTTCTGGGCATGTGCAGACACAAAACTTCAGACAACTTCTTTTAAGGTCCAAAACTGAGGCGGCTTCTGATGACTTAGGCAACATTTGGGAGTTTCCGGTATCACCATTTGGGAGTTTCCGGTATCACCATTTGGGGCGTATGCAGAATTTAGGCACTTGAAAATGTTCTTGGATAGGGGTTTTAGTCCTTGAGCTAACCTAAAGGTTAAACCAACGTGCTGCCGGTTTTCTGCTGCAATAGGTTTTGAATACAATTATCAGGGCCTTTTTTCCAATTACCATGAAACTAATTAGTACTCAAAACTGTCTTCAGCTTTGTTGAAATTCTTCAGGCATTCCCTTTGCAGCTTTTAATTTTTGTCACTCGTTTTGTACTTGAAAAGAGCGGCTGTCTCTTTGAATATATGGTTTGGAAGCACAAAATGCCACCTGAATCTTAAATTTAATATTTTACTTTGGGTCTTGACATTCAGAGATAAACAAAACTGTGAAGAATGATATGAGTGAAGTAAAGGGATGATTTTATTAATCCCAGCAACATCTAAAAAAATCAATTTTTATGTGTATGGATTATATGAAAATACATATCAATCCTATTTTGATATTGCAAAGCAGAGTGAACTATATTAATTTTTCAAAGCCTTAGGTATAGAGTGTCTTTACTTTACTTAAGGACATCAGAAGATACGTCATCTCACAAGGTATCAGTCAGCTCCCAGGGCTGTCTTTCACATTCTCTCTCCAAAACTCTTCAGCCAAGTGTTTAGAAATACTAAGGGCACAGACAGAAGTTACATTTATTGCATGACTGGCCCCTTGAAAGTGCTCTACAGCTGTGCCCTTACAGAAGGGTACAGCTGCAGAGCACTTTAAAAGTACCCAATTGAATGAAAATCTGAACCCTCATTACATGTAGGGTTTGTACAGAAGCCTCATTACAGTACATGAGGGTTCAGCTGAAGGTGCTCAAAGCAGAGCGCCCTTATTAATGTCTGTCTGCGTGCGCTGGGAGCAGGGTTGGGCTGATGCAGCTTAGCTCTGCCCCCAGTGCTGTCTTCAGAATGGGAGGGGGAGAAGGGACAGGAGGGAGTTTTGTCTGGGGTTTGCCCAGCCTGTGCTGGATGGTGGGGCAGAAAGATTGTACCATCGTGAGAAATACTCTGTGAGTGCCTCGTAAAGAACAGGTCACGTCCACAGAGGGAGAACCAACTACTCAAGAGCCTTAATCCCTCTGATAGGAAGAGCTGGCAGGGAGGAAAGCAGACCAGCCAAACCTACAACATGTCCAGTCTGCACGATGTGCGTGCATTTGAAACAGAAGTTACTCCAGTGTCTCGACAGAAAAGTTTAGGGTAGGCCCACATTACAGTAGCTGAACACTCAGCATGCTGCAGAGAAAATAAGTCCTACTCACATGCTCTGTGTGCATGTGCATTAGCTTGTACCAGGTACAGCTGAGCTAAATGACCCCAACTTTAAGGCTGGATGAAGCAGGTTCAAAGTTGGAAGAGTTTTGCTACATATGTATCACAAACCTGCTTGAGCTTTTTAACACAGAAGCTTCTGAAGCAGCTAGAAACGTATTTTCCTCCATAACTTCAGTTAATTTTGAATCATTAATAAGGCTACGGAGCAATGGATCATCTACCACAGGACAGGTTAAGTCATAGCATCCTTTGGGTCTGTGCAGATTTTTTGGATAGCCTTTAGGCAGCTGTACTGCATATGTCCATTTCTCTTGAGCAACAAGCCAACCATTCAATAAAATAATTATTATTTGCATTAGTGTTACCATATGTCCGGGTTTTCCCAGCCACGCCCTCTTTTTGGGTCCTCCCATCTCCTTCCGGGTGGTTTTTTAAAATAGCAAGTGTCCAGGATTTTGTTCTGCTTCTGCTTTCCCAGCACTTCCCCTACTGCCCCCAGCCCCAAACAGCTCCTTGCTAAGGTAAGCCAGGAAGGTGATTGGAGATTGGGGCATCATGTGCTCTGTGCGTGGGCACCGGCAGTGTGCATGCGTGCGTGCATGCATGTGTGCATTCATGCCTGCCAGTGCTGCAGCAGGGAGCTGAGAGGTCAGTAGGACTGGTGGGGCAGGGGGCTATGGGTTGGGAAGTGAGAGGCACCAGCAGGGTTATGGCAGCTGTGGCTTGGGAGTGAGGGGCAGGGCATGGACATATCACTGCCCCCCACCCCAATCATATAACGCCCGCCCCCCCCGTGTCCTGTTTTTTGAAACTGGAAATATGGTAACCCTAATTTGCATATAAACACCAACTGAGTGGCCAACTGTGGTAGTAACATGGCTAACTACCTCTCTGTGCCTTGGGGAGGCAGCCAGTAATCTTGCCCTATTGAGCTAGCAGTAGACACAGAAGAAAAAGCAACTATTTTATCCTGGTCTCTGCTCAGAGGGAGCGTAAAGGATGGAAACAGATGCATCATAAGTAAATGCCAAGTAACATAGGTCATAAGTAAAATTCTGTTGGAAAGTCAACTAGTTCTGGCTGGCAGTTATATTTTGCAAAAAAGCAACAGACTTGTTACTGTATAGGTTCCTGGGCAGTTTGCCCTCCCGTGGAAATAATCAGAGTGCAGTAGAAATTATTCTAATGAAGCCTATTACAATTTCTGCATGAATCTGTCAATCTATAAAAGAGATGCCATCTGTTCAAAAACACTTAACTGGCTTACTAAGAAAGACTAGTGCTGAACTACAAAAACCTGGGGAACACAAATTAAAAGACATGAATTATCGTCTGCCAGGCACCTAAAGGCAGCATCCAGTCCTGTAGCTATCCAGCCTCAACTAGTCACACAACTTTACACACAGCTGCGTGTGCACGTTTAAGCTCTCAACTTTAACTCTAGGGCTAAGTACACACCATGAAAAAGCCTGAGGCAAAATCTATTCAATCTAGGCAGCTTCCTTTAAGCTTTGTAGGTTGAACCGATAATGAGCTGAACTGACGTTCAGTTTTCAACTGGGAAAGGTGGCGGGGGGGCCTGCACTGACCCAGGCTAGTAGGTGGGGGTGCCAGAGCATGTCTCCCAGCTTGCTGGCTGTTGAGCCCAGCCAAGTAGGGCCATCCCCCACTGGCTTTCCAGCACACGTCCCCAGTGCCCGGCTGTCCCCCTACAGGGGGTTGAGGAGCCCTCATCCATATGCCGACCCATCTGTGGGGAACCTCCACCTTGGGGGGTTTCCCCCAGCCTCGGTAGCGAGGGGAATTCTCCCTCTCCTGCTCCCCTGCCGCTGCTTGCCTCAGCCACTGCCACAGGAGGGAGGAGGAAGTGGTGCCCTGGGCCAAGTGCCTGCCCACACAGCCTGCACGGAGGCAGCAGGGAGCCCATGCCGCGGGGGTCTCCCCCCAGCCCAAGGCAGCCTCAGGGAGCCAAGGGGAATTCTCCCCTGTGACACCACTCACCTCAGACTCCTTCGCCCTCCTCCTCTGGCAGCAGCCGAGGCAAGGAGCTATGGGGGAGCGGAAAGGGAAGAATTCCTCTGAGCTCCCTGGGGCTGCCCTGGCCTGGAGTGAGGGGCAGCCCCCTAAGGCCCTGTGCTGGGCTGCAGGGGCAGGCATCCGGCCCAGGGAAATCCTTCCCCCACCCTCCTGTGGCAGTGGCTAAGAAAAGCAGTTGTGCCAGGAAGGGGGGGAATTCCCCCAGCTCCCTGGGACGCCCCCAGTACGGGGAGGCATTGGCGACACAGGTGCACATGCACCCCGAGATTAGCCGTGCCTCCCCTGAGATTGGCTGTTGCCGCCGGGCGGTCGCCACTTGCTACACATTTCCGTCGCCCCCCGAAACTGCCAGCAGCATCTGCAGGTGGTTGCCAATCACTGATCGCCACCCCCTGGCTGCTTGCAGGAGGTCCCCACTTGCCGCCACCACCACAGACATTGCCAATGCCACCATGGGAGGAGGGCTGCAAAAGGGTGAAAACCCTCCACCCAGGCGCTTTCCCTCCCCTGGCACGCTGTGCAGACCTAGACTGGGAGGACCTGGGGGTCTGTTCCCCTGCCCCCATCCCTACGGGCTGACAGGTGCAGGCAGGAAGTGTGCTAGGGAGAAAAGGGGCAGGGCAGACCCTGCTCTGCTGGAGCAGATGGCCCAGCCCAGGGCTGCAAAGCATCTTGGGATGCTGGGGGACCGAGTTAACTTGAACTGGGAAGGGAGCTAGGCCAGAAGTTCCATGAACTGACTTGGCCTAAATCAGTTGAGCCTGATACTACATTCATCCAGGTTTATCTTAAACTAATTTTGGCCATTTTGAAAGTAACTTCTGTCCATAGCCCTGCTGTTTAAAAAAGATGGCATTACTTGTCTATAAAACAATGCTGAATTCTTTTTTTTTTTTTAAACAAGTTGAACAGTTCCAGGCTACATTAGAACAATTTTAAAGTCAGGTTTTTGGGGTATTTTTAGTTTGGCTGTAAACAATTCTAATGGTCCCTTTAAAAGTTAGTACCCTTGTTACAGCTAAAAGGGTGAATATAAATTGTTGTAGCCGTGCAAATGAATTCTCTGACATGAAGAATCTTGTGTTTTTCTTACTCAGCTTGTACCTACAAAAACCAGGAGTGCCATCTGACCATCCACTATGAGCACGGGTTCTCTCTCTCAACTGAACCGCAAGATGGTGCCTTCTCTAAAACAATTGTACAGTATCCCTATGAAAAACTAAAAATGTCCTCCGATGATGGGATTAGGATGCTTTATTTAGACTTTGGAGGAAAGGATGGAGAACTTGTAAGTACATTTAGCTATAAGAACGAAACCATTGTAGCATGTGACTACTGTAAAGCACTAATTCCTGCAAGATTACTATGGTGCAGTGTACTTGAATTCATGGTTTGGGACAGGCACTAACAAGCCTAGTTATATGCAAAGCAGTTCCTGGGTACTGTGGTTCCTAGGAATCAAGCTCTGAACTGTTAAACTCTTAAAAGAGGAGAGTGATCTAGTGGTCTCCTAGGTGTCGGACTCCAGTCTTTATATTTGTGTACACCAATTAAACAAACTCTGAAAAAAGCAAAACACTAATGAAGGGGCAGATTTTTAAAAAGAACCTGGTACCAAACATATTGAGCTCTTTTGAAAACCTTGCTAGTTGTTCTGGTAGCTGAGTGTGTGTCAATCACTTCTGAAGATCTACGAATTCTGATGCTAAAATCTTTTGGATAGACAATCTGACAGGTCCCCACCTTGTTAGCATGTTACTTGTCAGACTTGTTAAAGCCTGTCAACTCTACCTCTACAAACTACAGGTGCTCAGTGCCTCTCAGAATCAGGTCATCAGTTTGCTCTTTACCTTCACAGTTTTGCAACATTGGTAGCAAGGCCAATAAAGTCCCTTTTTATAGCCAGAGGCTGTGCCCATTATTGAAGTACAGAATTAGAAAAAAAAATGGCCATGTCAAATAGTGGCACAGAACTGGCTTGACTGGCAGTTGACTGGCCCTCCAGAAAAGCCAGTTGGCACCTGTGGCTAATCCCACTGTTGAGTTCAGTCAGTCTTGAATAATCCATCTGCACTTGCCAGGTGCCCCTGGTTACTGATGGAAACACACAAACTGAGCACACACAGTGAACTAATTTAGAACGGGGTGGCCAATCTGCGCCATGTGTGCCACTAGTGCAGGGGCAAGCAATTATTTTGAGAGGAGGGCCGCTTACCCAGTTTTGGCAGGCTGCCGAGGGCTGCATGAGCCCCGCCCCTTGACAGGTGCCCCACCCCCCAGTCACCATCTTGGGACCAACATCCCAATGTCTTGGGATCAACAGCCCAGGGCTAGCACCGGTGAGCCCAAAGCAGGGCGCAGTGGAGCCAGGCTGGGCTGCACCAGCAGGGAGAGGGGGGAGCTGGCTCGGCTCCAGAGAGCCCCTGCCAGCTGGGACCCCACGCTCCTGCCATCCTGCTCTGGGCCCCACCAGCACTGACCCCGAGGCACCGGTGTGGGCCCTGTGCTCCCACTGACTCCCCACCCGCTCACACCCAGTGCTCCCCCAGCCCCACGGTACAGGCGGGGGGCAACGCTCAGCCCCGACCCCCTACTTGCCAGCAGGAAAGAAGCTGGTGCTGAGCTTGAGGAAAAATGGCCCCTCACCTGCCCCATGGCTGGCGCCCCGCACTGCAGGTGCTCGCAGCCCAGGGCACCGGGCATGGGGCAGGCGAAGGGCCACCTTTTCTCTGTGCAGGGGAGGAGCCCAGGGAAAAGCTGAGCGTGGGGGGGAAGCAGCCCCTCCCATGCCCCCCACCACTGCAGCTGCTCGCAGCCTGCATGGGGCTGTGCGGAGCGGGCACAGGCAGACCCACGTGGACTGCAAGCAGCTGCAGTGTGGGGCACCGGGCATGGGGATGTTCCCCCCCCAACTTACCTGAGCTTCCTGCACCAGGGCAGCCACATGCTCCTAGCCCAGAAACCCCGGCTGGGGCTTCTGGCTGGGGGGTGGAGCCCACTGGGCTTCCCCTGGGTCTTACTGCCCTTGGTTCCTGTCATTTTTGACAGGAACCATGGGGAGATGAACATTAATTTTCCAAAAATTTTTTTTAGGGGCCCCGCAGGCTGGATAGAATGGCCTCGCGGGCCGGATGCAGCCCACGGGCCGTATTTTGCCCACCCCTGCACTAGTGGCACGGGTAGCCTCTGTGTGTGGGACATGGCCAATCAGGGAGAGGACAGGTAGCACAGCAGCAGATGGGGCAGGGACCCCAGGGCACGAAGTAGAAAGCAGAGCAGCAGACAAGGAAGGGGGAGAGGATCACAGTGGCACTCAGGAGGGTATGGGGCTAGTTTGTGGCATGCCTACTGGAAAGGTTGACCCACACTGGCTTTGAACCCTGACCTGCTCACACCCAAGTTAGGATTTTGCTGCTGGCTTCATTTAGTGTAAGAGCAAGGTTGTAACAGAAAGTAATAAAACTGTTTCTGGTCACTGCTTTTCAGAGGTAGGTGCGGGATTTCAGAAGTTAGCTTTTCAAACACAGCAATATGGACCTGGAGTGGGCACTGGTGGAACTGACAAGTTGGTAGCACTGACAGTACCAGTGGTTTTATTAAAATGGAGTAAACTGCACACCCTAATCTCCACCTGATCTAAATATCTTCAGTCAGTACTACCACTCTTGTGGCTGCACAATGAGGATAGAGTTTATGTAGCCATTTTACCCAGGACATATTGTGTGCATGTAACCAGATTAGGAAGCTCAGAGAGGACCAGGGGGAACACTGCTGAGACATGTGGCACAATAATCAGCTGTTTTACACACCCTGCAACCATACTGCATTGTTTCTGCTCTTGCTCTGTCACCACACTTAGACCTGTACTGATTTATGTTTTTGTCCTTACAAGGCAGTGAACATAATGAACAAAAGTGAGATGACCGTGTTAAGAAATGTATGCTTTTTCCAGACTCTCTTCCTGCTAAATGTGGACCTCTCATGCAATATTATATCTATCTATCTCAGTACAGGTCTAAGTCTGGTGACAGAACAAGAGCAGAAACAATGCAGTATGGTTGCAGGGTGTGTAAAACAGCTGACTATTGTGGCACAATGTCTCACCAAAGCACATATCAACAAGCACAGATTGTTTCATTTGCCAAAGCTATCCAGAAATAGCTCACTACCATACCTCTAACTTACACTGAGCCCCAAGGCTACAGGTTGATCCAAGAAAGGTCTTTGGAAGTTAGGTGCATCAGAATGGAATCCAGAATAACTAGCTTGCTAAGCAGGGGACTACGTAGAACTAGCTAGTGCTAAGGATGGAGGTATATGTTAAATCTCTCCCTTCTTTGGAACTGAGCTGCTGCTTTCCACTCAGATACAGCCTGGAACCCTCTCCTGAAGGGAGACACCCAAGCCCTCTCTTTAAAAAAGGAAAATGGGAGCAACTCTCATCAGACATTGCAAAAGGGAGCCTAGGCACATAACACGGTGTTTTGGACTCCATTCGGCAGGCCAGAATACTGAACATTGCAATATCCAATGCCCTTTGTTGGCTCCAGTCCTAAAGGTCAAGGTATTATCTGGTCTCTGACAATGCTCTCAGTTAGCAAAAACCTACTGAGGCTGACTGAATTTCTACCATGCAGTAAGTCCCTCTTCCCTCCCATCCATCCAGACTGTACCCCAGAGCTGTTTTCCTTCCCTACTCCAATAGAACACCTCTCTTTTTCTCTGTGAGTCTCTCTAAAAGCTAGAGATTTAATCTACAGGAAAACTGTAAGGGCTATTTTTTCCCCAACCTCTTAATGGAACCAGTAGTGTTATTTTTCTGGCCTCATCCAAAAGTGAACCTTGCAGCCTTAGGATGGTTCAGACAGATCCAGGATTATTATTGATTAATCTTAATCACCTAAATATTTGCTACAAGAACAACTGTGTGAATATAAAATTCAGTGTAATGGATGTGGTAAAGGGCTGTTTTTATTGCTTCCTAATATTCTCAAAGCAAAATCAAGTATCTGCAAATGACTGCTCATCTCATCAGTGCTCTAATTCAATCATCATTAACTTGCATTTTTCAACTCTCTTTTTTAATTTCAGCAACTGGACCTGCATTCTTGTCCGAAACCAATTGTGTTCATCATTCATTCCTTCCTTTCAGCTAAGATTACGAGACTTGGTTTGGTAGCATAAGTGGGATTCATCTGTTTCCTAAAAGAAAAATGGAGCTGCCATGCTAATCTGAAGTACAATCAACATTAAAAGCCTGTAGCTGCTAGCAGTGTACAAAAGACTGGAGTTCCATGCAGGGACTTTAGCTCTCGTGATTTCTGACAATTTTCCAAGGTACAGCCTTCATTTTGAAAAGGAGGCCCAAAAAAAAGAACACACACCATGTTTAAAGACCAAGAACAGTCTTTTAAAAATCACTGTTAATTGCAGGATACAACGTAGCTTATTGTAAATAATGGCAAAAAATTTAAAACCGCATACTGTACAGTGGAAATGAGCAGTGCCATATAGGTAGACATTTCAAAATCATAAACTGTGCCTATTTCGGAGTATTTCTTTATAAAAAGTAAGTAAGGGCTAAGCAGAAGACAGACCAGACACTATCAGCTGCAATTCAGTCAAGGTTTCAGTTTTGAAATGTCATAGTGAGTAGAGACTACAACAATTTGCTTTTGAAACCTTTGTTACCTTCCTCCCAGTTTATTCACTATTTAAATGTGTTACTGGTCTAGATGAACCATGTGAGGCAGCTGCTGGAGTACCCCAGCAGATACATTTTGGCTGGGTCCTGTAAACAGCCCTCAAAGGGCCCAACACTTCCCTATTGCCCACACACGTAAAGCTATCTGTGTATGACGAAGTCTGAACAGCAATAGCTATAGGGATCTATCGAAAAGCCTGTCAATCAGAAGAGAGCACAAAGGGGCATGTTTCATAAGTATCCTTAATTAATGAGCACACAGGGTAATTTTTTCAAAAGCACTCAAAATTACTTAGGAGTTTAACTCCGTTGAAAGTCAGTTGTACCTATGATCCATTTTGAAAAGGTCCCCAAAATCCTTACAAGCTTTTGAAAATGTTGCCAAAAAATTAAGTTACTGTGCCCCACTTAAAATCATGAACTAGAACTGCCACTGTGTCCTGCTGTTAAATCAGCTGAATTGAAATGGACTTCATTATTTAGCTCAGTAAATTAATTTAAAATGCACTTTTGAGATCCAAGTGGCTTAAAATGTATTATTAGCAGTAAAATGAAAATAAAATATTGATCAAATAGAATTTATATGGCTTTTAAACTGCAACAGAACTGCTTCAAATAGGTCTTTATAATGTGTTGATGATAAGAAACATGTTTTGAAAGCCAGAGCCTATAAGAAGGTCACAGTGTAGCATTGCAATGGTTCATTATTGTTACACTTCAAAAGCCAAGTAAGTTCTAAAATAAATGCTACTCATTGAGCAAAGGAAAATAAATTAAATGCTCTAAACACAATTTGTTTCCATATGAACTGTTTTATGTTAAAGTTCTAAACATAATAACAAGGCCAATGTTTCCACATATAAAAATCTATATTTTTATAATGGGCTAACTAGTAATAGAAACTCCTTTACAAGTTTTGAGAGATGTTGGGTTAAATTCACAAATGTTGTATTGTACTTGCAAACATTACACCCAAAAGACGACAGCACACAAACTAAATATTTGAAATAGTTCAGGTAGACCAATTGTTTTCAGGATTTTTTGTGAAGATAACTATTTTACTTTGATTGGGACTTAGGTAAGGAACTAAAACTTTTTAGTTTCCATCTAAAAATATGTAAATTTAAATAGTATGCCAATATTTTCCAATAGTGTGCATTTCTAATCTCCTCAAAACTGATATTCATGCAGTTCCCTGGGGCAAAGTGTTAACTTAAGCCAGAAAGACTTTCACAATACTCATATTGCCTCTTTTGGGAGACAAACGTATGTCATATGTTTGGGGACTGGCCTTTGATCACAAGTTCGTATTTCAGTAGCAGCCTGTTCAGAGCATGTAAAAAGTAAATTCAAAATTATATCCCTCTGTTAAATCATAATATCTTCCAAGTCACCCAAGCAAAGTGTTTTGTTTTAGTTTTGTACAAGTACAAATACTTAATGAATTTGGATCCATATTCCTATGGAAATTCCAGAGATTAAAAATAGCAACTGATATACTGTGGGTACGGTGAAATGAAAATGTAAATTATACTGCACTATTTCCTTATACCTTTTAACACTTAAGATCACTGGAATGTTATAAAATTACATGTATGTGCATTGTAAATAATCAGAATTCATATATCTGTCAACAAATAAATTCCACGATATGTAATCTAAGGTGCTCAGTACCATATGAAGTATAAGTGAATAACTAAATAGTTTGCAATGAAAGTGCATATTATATATTTATAGACAAATTAAAAAAGGTAATTACAAATGTTATTTCTTCATTTACAGATTTTGGACTGATTCTTATTTGGATGGGTTTGACAAATGAAATATGAACTTACTCTACATTTATAAAGAGTATAGTTAATATTTATATTTTAGAGGAAAAGAATATATTTAATAAAAGTCATTTATTGGATTTTTGTGAGGTGAGCTTAATTGGTATAATAATAGGCTATTTAAGATTCTATACTTGCATGATTTCTGGTCCTAGGGAAAGTAGGCATAATTCTTAAGTAAGGATTTCAGTTCAGTGCTCCCAGGCTGGTAGGAACTCTTGCGGGGGAACTGGGTAGGGAGGAGGAAGTGACCCACTGCTGCTGCCGTTCCTGAATGAGCCTGACTCCCCACAGAACCCAGCTGGAGTAGGCAAGGGCAGTTCTGGAGCCGGCCCCCATCCTTGCCCCTGGGGTAGCTAGGGATAGGGGCAGCAGGGAACAGGGGAGGAGATCAGAGGAGGGAATGTGCCACTGAGCAGAGAAGGGAAGAGAAGGAAGAGGGGCAGAATTCATACCTAATTCAGGGCATTAAAAAAGATCCCTAACAGCTGCTCCCATGGCATTATTGGCTGAACAGGGGTGCATCCAATGCCACTGCACCCTTTCTGGACTGACCCCTGATCTCAACTGGCAGCTGAATAGAGCCACAAAGAACAAAGAGGAAGTGACAACTGCACTGACTTTCTTGGGATCAGATATGCAGCAGGATTATGAGGAAACCTGCAAGGCCTAGTATTTTTGTACACCACCCCAGCAAGAAACTTTGGCACTAAAGGACCTCAGGCACCTTAGATATTTAGGCAGCACCTGGGCAGGGTTCTGAATAGCTCAGCAATGCCTAAATGTTGGACTTGGGTATTTAAGCCTTAAATCCTCAAAGGTGTTTAGGTGCCTAATTCCCACTGCATTTCATTGATTTCAGTGGGAATTAGGTATTATATATCCCTCCATCCCATTGTGGATTTATCTTATACTTCCTGTAGTATCTATCTGCTTTCTTAGTGGTAGCATTAGGGTAATGCGTGGACATACCCATGTTTGAACAGTTCTCTCTAGCTAAGTAATCTTATGTATTAAAGCTGTTAATTTACCAAGGCACACAGCAGATTACGGGAGAAAGTGCTGTCTGATTTGGGGCATACTAAAACAGCCTTATCACAAAGGCTATTCAAGGGGATGCCTTTTAATGTTCATCATTGTTTAAAACTATTACAGGAAACTAGAATATTCTACATGGAAAACCGGTGTGGAAACATCCCCGTTAATAAGCACAACATTACTTGCGCTAACAAACATGGAATATATAGGCAGGAGATGTTACAACAAGACTACTGCTACTGCTATTCTGTCATTAAATACAACAAATCCAATGTGTCAGAGATACATTCAGATGCTTGTTCAGTGCCTGCTCCTTGGAGTAAGGACGTGTTAAAAAAACATAACCCCCAAAAACACCTATGTGGGCATTTGGGACTGTCTTCCCCCAGAAAGGAGTAAAAGTCAAGTTTACTATAATGGGATGAGCTAGGCAGGAGCTGTTTACATTAAAGATCTTTTGAAATGGTTGGAGAGGGAAAGAAACCCCCCCCCAAGAGTTTTATTAAGAATACAATGCAAAATAATGAGCAGCCCTTTCATGCACTAATGGATACATCGCTGTCACAGAGCATTAGTAGTACTTTTTACTATCTTTGCCAAATAATTAAAAGTTCAAAACTCTGGCTGTAAATCAAGTGTTCCTATATCCTGGAAGAAATGGAAACATGCTTTGTCTAGCTTATATTAATCAGGCAGATTTAAGGCTGGCCCAACCTCTTCTGCTATTTTGTAAAATGATACTCCTTCAGATGGCGTTTCAATGTCCCCTTCTTGCTTCCATTTACAAATGAACTAGAGCGTTGTCTTAAAACGTGCGTCAAAATATTGCCATCTCTTATACTTCTATGTTTCCTTACTTGATTGAAGAAAAATATTGAGCAGATGTATTTTATCCAAGTGCCAGAGTGATGAAACATTAGGACTATTTTGCCAGCAGGGAGAAAAACTCAATCATATACAAGGTAATTGGAAAATGGTATTTAATATGGAAATTCTTGAACTGAAAGGGGAATAGATGTTATCACCAATAATGCTGCTAATTATAAGTTAACTGCTAAAAAATAACTTGGTATCAGCATGATTTTGATTTTTTTAAACTGCACTGGCTAACCCAGAGAAAAAACTCTTAAATCAAACAGTGCACCATGCTATGTACTTACCAGCAACAAGGATTATAGCCATTTCCCCCTAAACAGCAAGGGCAACAGAAGCAGTTTTTCCACATCAGTAGTTGAAAAGCCATGATTATAGTTTTTGGACATTCATAAAACTGGTCTGTCTCTTCTGCCCCTGGGGATTGCAGCCCCAGCTGCCAGATGGATAGCCCCTGCTGCAGTGGTGGGGAAGGGGAAGGAGGGCAAAATTAACCTCCTCCCTGCCTATTTTGCCTTAACAGGGCCATGCCAGGACACATCTGGCCATGCCATGCCCCTGCTTGGGCTAAAGAGCAGAGGGGCGGGACCAGCCCTGCTCTGCTGGAACAGAGAGCACAGCCCACCCCAGGGCTGCAAAGCATGTTGGAAGACTCTGGTTTAACTTAAACCAGAAAAGGGTCTGGGCAAGAAGTTGCATAAACCAGTTTATGTGCAACTTCTGTCCTTGGTCATAGAGTGGAGATGCCAGTGTACCTAGATGTTCCATTACAAATCCCCATTCTTCTGTGTTGGTCTATGCCTTGGACTAAATGACACTATATTTCATAGACATTAGGGCTGGAAGGAACCTTGCAAGATCATCGAGTCTAGCCCTCTGCTCAAAGGGCAGGCAGTCAGTAGGGGTCTGTCCCTTCCCCCCTCCCCTTCCCTGTCCCACCAGCAGGGACCGCAGCCATCCCAGCATGGCCCTGTTAATACTAAGGGGCAGGGATTACGTTAATTCTCCTACTCTGGGAGCCTGGCCATGCCCCCCCTCTCCCCTGCTCATCTTCCCTGTGGAAGGGAAGGGCAGGCTGCGCTAGCGCCCCTGGGCTTCTGGCCTGATCCACTCCAGGCATGTGCCTGCATTTCTAGAATGAACAGTGGATGTCTGTCCACTTGCAAATCAGTTCAATCTCTGCAGGTTAGACTAACCTGAAAATATTGAATCAATTCAGGCTCAGGCTTTGTAAGTGTCTGTCCCTAGCTTGTGAGGCTTATTATGCACAGTATCCCATTAAATCAGTCATGTGTGTATGCTCATAGAGCAGTAAACCAGCAGAGATTATGGACATATCATGTGAGAAAAGTCATTACATTAGGTATAGGAACTTTGATTCTGTTATGTGGTTCATAGCAAAGCAGGGTAAAAACAGAAATACTGACAGTAATATAGCAAGCAGGCCATATATAGCAAGAGCTTTGTTTTTCACTTAAATTATATTTTAGAAGGCTATTTAAAGTCTACCAAAAACAAGATCTCAGTGCTCCTTTTTCAGCAAAAAGAAGTGTGCTCCAAACTTACATGCAGTTAACCCAGATGTTATTTTTGTTGTGATACTTAAAAGTAATGAATATATTACAAGTATAAACCATGACTTCCCTACTATATGAAATAACATCTTGAATGCAAAGTCACTACTATAAGGAAGTTATCAGGTGTATGTGGAAACACTGTTGCAAGTTTGCCCTAAAATTCAGTTTCAGAAAACAACAGAACCTTTGTAACAGAAGCAGTTAAGGCATTCCCATACTGGATAGCATTAGAAGAAAAATCCTGACCAAATCCTTGAAGAGCTGGAGTATATGCAATTCAAAATGGCAGCTTTGTACTAAACAAGAACCTGAAAGTGAAATTAACAGAAGGCAGAAAATGGTGAAACTAACTCACTGGTATCCTTTGTCTGCCATTAGCACTACCATTATCGCAACATTGCCAAACAATAGACAACCACACACAGCCCCGCCTCAAGATGCCCACTATATAAAATAAGCTGGAAATTTCAAAACTAGTATAAGCCCTCCAGTGTAGGGGACATACAATGAATATAGCGATTTCTGGAAATGGGGTCCTACAGTTAAAATGATGCAACTCCTCAGGTATATGCAGTTATAACAATATAAATTTGCCTTATACTATTATCACCTGTTGCCTCTTCCCCTCAAGGACTTGCCATACTAGTGTAAACTCACTTTATACTTATGCAACTGCATCTACTACAATTATAATTACTGAGGTAAAAGGCACCTTTACATTGCTGTAACTGAATGCGTATCTTGAGGATACCAATGTAATGCAGTAGAAAAATCAAACTCCTGCATATTCCTCCTTCAAAAATAAAATGAGTTGAATGTTTAGGGCAACTGAAACACAGGAACAAAACTGTCAGGTAAGTCACTGCTTTGTTTCATGGCTCTTTCAAGAGCAATGGCACAGTATTGCCTTTTAATGTGAAAATGCATCTTTGTCAATGCTGTTCTAGGCATTCATTTTAAATACAGCATTATTTTCAATAAAAAAAAAAAATGGTTTCTCTTGTAACTTGCAAAATGAGAAAGTATATTGAAAACACATGGGATTTAAAGCCTAAGCATGAGCAGCCTTATTCCCAATGAAGCTTTTGTAAGCCATTTTATTGAAAGTTTTTTTCTTTGCATTTCATTTCATCCTGGACAAATTTGGAGAATGTGTGTCAGCCTTCAAAGAAGTATGAAAACCATAAAATAACTGCTATAAGCTGCATGTTTGATTTGGGGCTTTATTAAAAACTATAGTTTTTACATCTTTTGATACAACTTGGAAGGGTTATTGTGCCTTCAATCTTAAATCACATTTGTATTTCAATTGCAGAAGAAATATGAAATTATAGCTAGCTGTGCTATAAAATGTGAGAGCAGTTTTATTGCATTGTAAACCTTTCAGGTTAACAACTTTGTTGAACAAAAAGTAGTTGTAAACAGAACATATATCTTCCATAAACATTGTGCAAAAATAATAAAACGGTCCCATTACTATATTTACATTTGGCATCATTTATTCATCCCATATAATAATAATAAAAATAATAATAATAATAATAATAATTAAAAAAAAATCAACACATCTAGAATTGTTCACCCAAATTCTAAGTTGCATTCCTTTTGACAAGCATCTAATAAATATGCATGTAGTATAAAAAACTACCTTACAGATTTTTAAAAATAAAATCTTTGCATATAAAATCTCTCAGTGCTGAAATATACTACTGAACTTGGGAATTAAGTTTACCTAATTATTCCTACCCAGCCTTTTAGGCTTTTGGTGCATACATGTTACCTGCCTTCACACTGTTATTGTAACATGTTGTGCTTTTTCTGTGAAGTTTGTGGGCAGCATGTGAACGGTATTTATACGGAATGATTCTGCATCACTGTTTGTTAGCCTTTTCCAAAACCCATTCGATCACCTAATAAAATAAAGAAGAAGCCGTGTTTTCCAATGTATGGTTTAATTTTGCTCAAAAATGACATCTGGAATATTCTAGGTCAGGTAAATATAACTGAAAAAGCTTACTTTGCCACAAGATTTAAAGGAGGCTTCATTTTTCAAGGAGATATCAACAAGTAGATAGAGCAGACATGGATATTATTGTATAACTGCATTTTTAATGCTAAGGCGTGCCTTGCATCTACAAAAAGGCATTTTTAGACTCCAAAAATGACTTAATGTACCACAATTTCTTCATGTTAGCAGAATGCCTCCAATTCTAATTAACTGGTGCCTGCCTTCAAAATAATGCCATTTCCTACTTTTCAAATGGAAAAAACCCACAAATGGTAAGAATACATACTAATTTCACTGTTGATGCTACAGCTTCATTGTTGGTGCAGTAGCTACATCTGTTGCAATTCCCCAGGCAGAGGGGCCATTCAGACCATCAGTCAATGCGAGTCCATTAGGGGTGTCAAAGATACAGCCCATGGAGCCCCATCATCTGGCTCCTGGGTCTTGAGCTGACCCCATGAGCTGGAGCTGCCCTGCACAAAGGCCTGGGAGGCACACTGCAAGCAGCTCCCACTCCAAGACCAGTTCTGCACTTGGCACCTACACAGGGCCAGGCTGGGCACGCCCGTGCATGCTGGATCCAGCACCTGCTCTGATTGGGCAGTGCATGCGCCACAGATCTGCTGCCTCTCTCACTCCCCTATCTTCCTCCACACATGCCAGATCTGGCACCTGCTCTGGCCAGTCTAGGGTGGGTGTTACATGTGGTACAGTCCCAGAGCAGCTAGAGTGGGCACTAGATCCAGCATGCTGGGGGGAGGTGGGAGGAGTCCATGGTCTCCTCCATGCCCAATCAAGCACCTGCACACAATGCTCACCCCAGACCAGGCAGAGCGAGCACGGGGGGGGGGGGGGGGGGGGGCGCGGGGCCGGCCTGATCTGGCCTGCAGTAACAGCCCTGTGCCACTCTTCTGGCCCACGGGGGCCATGGGACCAGATGAGTTTGACATCCCTGCATTATAGAGTCGGCACAATGAGGCCCTATGCAAGTGACTGAAGAACACCTACCATTGGGGATTTTAGGACTGCTAATACTTTGTTCCATCACAAAGCCATGGGCTTCCTATGAAGCCTTACATAATTGTTTGTCTACTATTCAATCTGTGAACTGGAAATACCACCTCCCTTAAGGTTTGTTTACTGGCAGTAGCATATATAATACTGTGAAGGGTCGAGCTGGCATGGAGACACAGGACTTCTGCATAGTTACTGCTGATTTCTTACAATCAATGTAACTTGGAAACAGGCCCCCATGGCTTCTTTCACAGACGTGCTTTATCCTGCACTTTCCTCTCGGCCTCTCCCAAGGGTTTTACCATTTGGGGAGGGGAAGGGGCATACCTTGTATTTTGTTTTATAGCACAGAAAACAAAAGACAATATTCACCCTACACTCAGATGGGCTCAGCCAGCCATCCCTCAGGCTTCTATTTACTGTTATCTATCCTGAGAGCTGAAGTCTGACATTTTGGCAACTGCTCCTCTTCAGGAATTTTATTTCCTTTTTTTAAGTCCCTTTATTGTTTCATTATCTCTGAATAGAAACGTTACTGCCATCAGTAAAGGAGGCAAACTCCCCTAATGGTCCATTTATAAGAAACTCCTCTGGGAGAAATAAAAATACTGTCAACATTTTTCTCACTGATGTGAAACAGGGTTTTAAGTCTCGCTTTCCTTACTTCAAATTTCTCTAAGTATTACAGTAGCTGCTATTACCGCAACATGCTGATGTCTGCAACTGGAAGTTCACAGAGCACTGATTTCTAAAGCACGCTCACAAGCCGAAGTAGGATATAACAAGAACACAACTGAGGGAATTCTTCTATTCATCCATGAAGGCTGTACACCAACTAACCTTAGAGGGATGTAGCAGCAACTGTATGCAATGCAGCCTCCTACAAAGAAACATTTTTCCAGAACACACAGAAATAGGATTACCTGTTTAGCATTGTTGTTTGCTGTTCTTTTCATCTCATCAAACAATCCTCTGGAAGTTTTCAGGTCCTAAACAGGAAACATATTATTGTAAAGAATGAAACCAAGAGGGCTGCGAACACCGACATACCAACTCCATAACCTACTCTATGACACTAGGTTACTTGCAGGGATTTGCCCCATTGTACTCCTAATGGAGGACCAGCTAGGACTCCCTCACCTAAGAAAATGGGTTAACCAGATATCTGTCCTCACTCCAAATCCATTAAAACTGGTTTATGCCTCTCCTGTAGTGACCAGAGATTGCCCAAACTTGTCACTGAGGTTTCATAGTTTTAGTCCCTTCCTGCTCCCTATATGGTTTTTCAAAGTAGCAGATCCACTATAGGATGCTCAAAACTCTAACAACTCTAAAAATGGAAAAGCCTATATACCAAAGGGTGTATGACACAGCCTTTAACAAAGAGCAGGACTCAGAAATAAATTTAATGAAGGAGCTAAGTTGGTAAGCAGGGGTGGAAATCAGAAGGGAGAAATCACCTCATCAGGGCAGAGATGTTCTGATGGAGTCTTATCCCTCCGCAGTCAAAGCTCATGGGAAGTAATGAATAGATAAAAAGTAGTAGGAAGGGAAAAGCAATCTATTGCATACATTCTGCCCCCTTTAAGGGATGCAACCCATCTCTGGGGAGCTCATAATACCACAACATTAGCACTACCCTACAGTGCAGTATAGAGCTGGATTTGAAAAGTTCCCGCAAGTTTCAGGTGAGGGCTGCACCAGTTAGTACCATAGGGGAAAGTCTGGTGGTGACCTCAGACAAGCAGGCCTTTGGAAGGCCAAAGGCAGCAGGTTTCTCTCTCTCATCTCAAACGTCAGATTTAAGCTCTCCATCCCTTTTCCTTCCTTTCAGTATCCCACAAGGAAACGGATCTGATGCCATCTTCTCTCATCAACTCTTCTCTATCTCCTATGAGCTGGGTTTGCCCCTTATTCTTTGATTCCTTACAGCTCTAAGGTTTTCAAGTGTTTATCTTAAAGAGCCACTGACTTACAAATCACTTTGGTTCTTCTGAAAAAATACTTCATCTTTTCGTAAAAACCTGGGTGATGTGATTTCATACAATGCTGCCAGGTGAAAAAAGGGCAGGACTGCTGTGCACTCCACAGAAAGTGAGAGAGAGCACTACAAAGAAAAGTAAAGATTACCCAGCATGGGGTTTATTGAAATTTCTCTCTTCATTTTGTAATCAGTGGACTTTGTCCTGAACAATGACTGTGATCATCACTGCCACAAAAGAAACATAATGGTTTACTCAAATGTATTTTATGCAAGGGAAGTCTTTGAAACCCTCTGCAATTGGTGTTTAGATTAGATTCTAGAAGAAGAGAAAAAATAGTAAGGAATGGAGACAGACTGATAATTACTGCAAGTTAAGTCAAGAGAGAACTTCTGATGATATACTAATATCTATCTCCAGACAGAGTCAGATTAGTTATTATACAGTGAAGCAATCCTAATTTAGTACAATGCAAAACACTAATATGTATAAAGCAAGGCTACATTCAACAGATGGAAAGAGCAGTGAATTCATGCAACTGGAGGGAAACATAAGATGGTCAGAAAATGGATGCAAGCAGGTTCAAGTATTTGGCATTCTGCACCAATGAGAAGCGAAAGCGAGTGCAGCTTACAATAGCTGAGGCAGAAGGGTCATGTCACCATAAAGCAAACTAAGAAGGGAAGGTATGATAAAGCAGCTACTCTGATAACTTCACCCTATTCTGCATCTTCTTCTTGATTATTTTTCTGGTTATATCTCATCCTGACTCCTCAGTGTCTGCTAATACTCCCACGCAGCATTAATTTAATGTAAGGTACTCTACTCTGCCATGTGCATCCTCCTACGGACTGGTAAAAGGAACCTAACTTGCATCACTTTTTATGACATGGACCAAAGGCAAGATCTGTTCTTTTGGATAAGGAATAGGACTTATAAGACTGGGCTTTACAAACCTTTCTTGTATAGAAGAGAAACCGCAAATGTTCATGGCTGATTGATAGCTCCAGCAGGTGGTGAAGTATACATTTAAATAAATACCTCATATAACAAACTCTCTGCTTTAGCAAAGTAAAGGATTAAAAATTATGCAAAACAAATATTAGCAATGTTGTTATAGTGAAGCAAACCTACAGTGTTTGCTACAAAAATCCTATTTGCCTGAAAAAAAATGTACATTGAACATGTGCAGTTAGCATTAAACTCTAATTTTAGACAAACCACTAATAACCAATCCCCATCAGAATGAAAATTTGTAAAAGTCCACAGCTCTCCTTACACTCTTCCAGCTTATGCTTTTTGATGGCTAATGTAATAATTCCCCAGTCATTGGGAAATACTGATACTGCCAAGTCTGGACCTCCTAGAACCTGCAGTTATATGCAGGATTGGAGGATTCTTATATATTTTAATGTGTGGCCCCCATTTAACAGCAGTATGAGTCTATGGCAGAAAAAATAGCCTTGACTCTTTAATCTTGGGATTCCATACTTTGCCTTCGAAAAGGGCTGACTACTCTCATTTTTACCAAATATTTTCCAACAATCAAAATGCAAAAGAAGCTAAACATATATTAAAGGGTATGTTAATACTTGAGCTTGACATTCTTTTCCTGGATGTGGGTTTGGTGGAATAACCACACACACACACACACGAGAGAACAAAAGGAAACACATACCTTTAAGTAGAACTTGGATATCTCAAACAGACGCTGGCTGCAGGATGCAAAGCATTCGTGGTCCTCTGCAATGCCGCGTTTCTGAAGTGTTTTAGCAACCACCTCCTTCAGCATCTTGGAGACAATAGGCACACTTGGAAATCAGGACCAAGAATAAAACTAAACATAACTTCTTCCTTCCTCTCTTGCTCCAAAGATTAATTTTAGGGAGAGACACGTAAATTGTACAAGAGACCAGGAGTTTAGGTAATCCTGATGTCCAAGTTTTGGTTCTACCACTAATTCATTTGACAGTTTTAAACAATCTTTTCCAATCTGCTTCACCTGGTAAATGCAGAGAATACCCTCTTATCTACCTCACAGGAGTGTTGAAGATAACTTAATAAAAAGTACTCTGCAGAGAGAATGCTTTAAATAAACTGCTGAGCAGTTGTTACAGTATGTACTGGTATCACTTCATACATAATTAAATTGTTTATCCCAAGTATAATTTGTACAACATCCTCCTTAAATCCTCATCGACTGGGAAGTATCACATGATGTACAAACAGGAGTTGGTAAGGAATACTCATCATCAGAATTAATTTACTGAAGAAAAATGTCTTTTCTGTAAAATCCAAATTTCTGCGGGGAAAAATCTAAACAGCAAGTCCTTTGCTTCCCCTCTGGAAAGTTCTCGTAAATCTGTCTGTCATTAAAAAAAACCTGTATTTCAATCCTTCTGAAATGGAATTTGGGGGACAATTCCTCCCTTTCCACAAAGCATTGGCATTTTTTACTTTTAAGTCAACATAGGATGAAAGAATTTCCCCTCTTTATCGTAAGAGACGTGAAGTCCTGTAACTATTATTATGGTTACCAGAAATATACAAGGTAAGGTGTTAAGTAGAGTTTAAGTTAGGATTATAGTCCAGGAAATACGAGTGATAAGAATTTTAGGTGATATCTTTTATCAGACTAACCATCACTAATGCCAGGCATGGATTTTTCTCTGGTGTCTTTAGTTCTACTTATCAGTTTTCTATATCTCCAAGCCTCTAATTTATATTGATTGGTATCCATTTTCCTTTTTTCTGCTTTTATACATCATACCTTTGTATTTAGCTTAGACAATATATAGTACTTTTCCTGCAATCATAATTCTCCTTGATTTCATCATGCTTCACCTGATTAGGGCAATATAAAAAGAAAAAAAAAAAAAAAAAAAAGGCAAAAAATGAGGTAGTCTTATTTCATTTTTAGAGAACAAAATCTTTACCCGTGTATGTTTCTGAGATCTTGATTCTTTCACTGGCTTTGAAGTTTCTGACTCTTGCGAACTTCTCTGACTTGTTGAGCCAGCCTTCATGGATACTTTTTGAGGTTGATTACTTGGTTGCTTAACAGGCACAGAAGTTAGAGATCTTGATCTTTCTGAGGATTGTCTTGTGACAGCAATGGAATGGTGACTCCCACTACTTCCACTTGCCTGAGACAGGACAGAATCTGTGCTTTCAGATTTTGTTAGTCTGGTGAGAAAAGAATGAAAAAAGATTAAGTGATTATGATCTTTAGGGTTTCGCCTCTACTACTAAAAATATTGCAAAAACATAGAATACTCCTCAAATGGAGGCTGAAAATGGTGTGAGGCACTCAACTGTTATCTATATTTCCTCCCTACTGATGGAAGAACACTTTTTCCTTACCTACCAAATTGTTCACTGGTGTGGTTAATGCACAATAGTTTTTTTTCCCAATCTGTGCTATCACAAATGCTACAGAGAAAAAAAAAAAAAAAAAAAAAAATCAGCTGGGAACAAATCAGCTAGCCATAAAAGGGAGACAGACAGCAAAGTCCCACCATTCACGCAGGTTCCTATCCTGTGTACAGGACCTCCATCTGATGCAGGAGGTACATGGTCCCACTAGGGGGAATGCCTTACTGGACCTGGTATTGGCAACGGGGGATGACATAGTAGGAGACCTACAGACTGGTGGTCACCTGGGGGACAGTCATCACCAAATAATAGAATACATCATAAGATGTCGAGTAGGTAATGTAACTAGTAGAGTGAAAGTGCTAGACTTTAGAAAAGCTGACTTCAATGAACTCAGGCATTTAGTCAAGGACACACTGCAGAGTAAGAGTTTTGAAGAGATGGGAGCCCAGGAAGGGTGGCTGTGCCTTAAGGAAATGATCCTTCGGGCACAGAGGGAGACGATCCCTACGCGGGGAATAAGGGGGAAAAGGGGCCAAGAGGCTTCCTTGGCTGACCAGAGAAATCCAGAGCAGTCTACGGGCTAAAAAGGGGGGCATATAAAAAGTGGAAACGGGGAGAGATTACTAAAGAGGAGTATACCTCCTCTGCTTGCACTTGTAGGGAGGCAGTTAGACAGGCCAAAGCTACCATGGAGCTGAGGATGGCATCCCAAGTTAAGGATAACAAAAAAATGTTTTTTAGATATATAGGGAATAAAAGGAAGGCCCAGGGTGGAATAGGACC